AAAAACTTATGCTTTATCTTCAATAAACTTTATTCACGCTTCGCCGCTTATGTATTATAGTATATAAACATATTATCTTATTCGATTTATCGTTGTATTCTATATATAAGTTTTATACTTTTCAATTATTATTGTACTTTTGTTAAAAACATCTTACAATTAGTCAGTTTCGTGAAAATTTATTTTTCCAATTATTAGGCCATTGGATCTATTATTTCTGATATCAAATTTGAATTCACCGAATCCAAAAATCCCTTAAAATAAATCTTTCAAAAATTTGTCCATTTTTAAATATTAGCATTATACTTTAGAGGATAAAAACTACTATATAGTAGCTCTGAAACAGTGTCATGTTTTGAAATAAGAAATAACAAACGAATTTTTACGATCTAATGATAGATTGAACCGTTTTTTTTTTGTATATAATCCACAAGAGTTACATATTAAACTTTCGTAATTAATAACCAATATCGGCTCTTCTTTCAATTTTAATTGTTTTATTCAACTGAGCCTGCATCATTGTATTTTAATTTGTTAAAATAAATTAAACTTACTTTCTCAAATTTCCAATATGAAATGTCTGCTCTCGTTTCCTCGTCGCAGACTTTTCAGACGAGAGCTTGCCAGGTGGATCAGCGTACGAGATCTCTGCTCTTTTAATTCGCCAGGTCAACGGATATCCGTAGGCGCACGTTTCCGAAAAGTGGCCGACTCGCCGCTAATAATAACCCTCCAAGACCGCGTATACCCACAAGCCTCGTATCCACATACAGGCCAAACTTATATATTTCGCGGTGCCGGAAACCGATTCCGAAATATCCCGTGCGAGACCGCGGAAGCATTAAAAGAATAATCCGACGGTCCACTCTCGGACCGGAGGCAGTCGAGATCGCCGCCCACGGGAAACGTGTCCGATGCCAAAAACACGGAATCGGTTTCATGGTGTACGACAGTAGTTGTTGACTGATCAGGCTTCCCGTGAGTATACCGTCGATCGAATAGACGCGTTTCCGGTGGCTCCTCGTTAGCAACACGGAGAAAATTTCCAACAAACGGGAAAGGGTTTAACTACGATAATTCTTAACAATCCTTTCACGCGATTTCATGAATGTTAAATTTCAATTTCAATTTCAATTTAATATAATCTCAACGTAATTAATGTTCGCTATATGGCGTGTACCAATTAAAATGGCTGTAGGACGAGTTAATGGCGTCATGATACTACAATTTTTGCGGCTGTCACGTCAAAAGAGATGGAATGAATCCGCAATTTCTAGTTTAGCGCTGCACTATTGCTGCCGATACGCAACTAGTAGCCTAATTTCCTGCCGAGGCAAATAATGCATCAAGGTAGCAAACCGGCTGTTGCCGCCCCCCCCGTTCGAGAGATTATATCGAAACAAATCACGTCGATTTGCTTACATCATTATATACGAGAATATAATTGCCTGGGTCTCTCATTAGAATCGATACCATATATACATTGTACTGCTGAACTATCGACTATGAAAAAAAAATAATTAAACGTGAAAAATGAAGGTGCGGCGTATCCGAGA